TCATCTTACCATGTTGATATCATATGTCTGTCTAGTATTTCTCCATTAAAAATTGTTACTCTATGTTTAGGTTAAAAACCCTGGGAATGGAGAAACTGACTCTAGGCCTAGCACCTTTGCTTATGTGTGTTCAATCAAGAATAGCTGTTATGAGCTGGGGTTGTGGCACAGTGGCAGAGCACTTGCCCGGCATGTGTACAGCCCTGGGTTTGATCCTCAGCACCACATATAAATAAATGAATAGTCCCTTGACAACTAAAAAAATATTAAAAATTTAAAAAGAACAGCTGTTAACATTTTTTTTAAGCAGCATCTTCTCTTCATTTAGCAAGTGTAACAAACATGTCAGCATGTTTCTGGGTGTGGAGGACACAGCAGGTCAAAAACCCCCGCCCTCATAACACCTTAGAGTTGAAAGTGCTGTAGAGACAATGATACTTTATTGATGATATATGATTGTCTAAATTTTAAAAGTCACATGATTCTAAAGATAAACTATTTAGGATTATTACGTTTAGCAAAGTCCTCACATTCAAAAATATTGGGGAAAGACCGAGTCTGTACTGACTTGTTTTCTTGTGGTTGTTGCCTGAGCAATACAGTATGCCAGCCATTCACACAGCTGTCCCTCCAGTGTGTGAGCCACCTCCAGGGCCCTGACAGTTGAGAGGGAATGCGTGGAGGTTCCATGCAAATGCACGGCGTTATATAAGGCACGTGCACTCAGGGGATCTGGAGGGCCAGCTGTGCCATGCACCAGGAGCCAGCCTGGCACCAGTGAGCACTACCTAACCCCGGCTCCCCCTGTTGTTCCTGCAGTCATCGTCCTCATCCCCATCATGGTGCAGTGGCTACTCAGCTTTATTATGTAGAAAATAAAGAGCAAACACAGTGATAGACTAATTGTCTGTCTCTTCTTCTCCCCCTGCCCTCTCTCTCTCAAGAATTTTCATAACTTTGTAGCCCAGATATTTCCCGGTCTGCCACCAACAGAAGCTGTGAATGCAGTGGAAGTCATTTCTGTCAACAAAAAGAAGAAAGTATGGGATTATAATTATGACGATGACAGTGACAGTGACCATGAAGTGGCTCTCAGACCTAGCGCCGGTGGTTACACCATGCACGGACTGACCAGCAGGCTTCTGAGCCAGGTCTCTGCTGCCTCCCAGGAGCCTGAGATGGAAGGCTCTGAAGCTGAGGAATCTGATCCATACGAGGCTGAGCCTGAGCCCCACCCCGGGCCCCCTACGGTGCCAAAGCCCAGCCCCTGCCACACAAGTGGTCCCTATGAGAGGAGAGAGAGCTTGTGCCAGGACTCTTTTCCTGAGGACAACTGCAGCTCCGCTGGAGGGTCCGGGGACAGGATTACCTTTAATGTGAATTTAAACTCTGTGTTTATGAGAGCTCCTGATGACGATGACTCAGAAGAATCCCCTTTGGTGTCATCTCTTCCAGAAGAGATCATCAACCTAGAAGAGGATCCTGACCAAATGGAATCCAGTCTTCTGGTGGCGAGTGGGGAAAGGTCACAGTTGCTCGACCTCAGCCCCTTTTCCCAGTGCCTGTGGACTGAGGAAGACACTCCATCTGATAGAAGCGATACTTCTGATTTTGATGTTGACTCTGGAAGGGACGGTTATATCATGAGATGATTCTGAATATAGCTCATTAACTTGAACAAAGAAGTCCACACAGGGTTCTCGCCCTGTACACAGACTTGTTGCCTTATGAGCCACAAGTGGTCTGTGAGGAAAGGAGTACAAGGAGTACAGGGGCTGGCCAGTTCTTCCTGATGACATAATCTGTGAGCATTCCCCGTAAGGGAATATATAGTATCATGGAGCACACTGTTTACAAGTCCAAGTGATACATTTTGAAGATGCATGCCCTGCCTTCTCCCTTTATTCTAATATACTTCTTAGGAATCTCATCTTGGTTCCCAGTAAGCAAGATTCCCTGTGTTCTTCAGGGTGACCTTATCCCTCTGGCCCTGTAATGTTTCTGGGAAACAATTGAATTGCCAGGATGGGAGAAGGGAGAAAGAAGGGAAAATCCTAGCAGGAGCTATGAGTAGTGTGAGCAGGTAGAGACCCTGAGCCCAGGAAGCTCAAGGAATGAGCAATAAACCAGGCTGAAGGGATGGGTTGGAGCAGGATTAGCTGGAGAGAAAGGATGCAGATGCATAAGGAAACAAGGGAAGGGCCAGCAATTTCAGTCAGTGGTCCCTGGGCACCTCTCAGATGTCATATTGTCACCGCCAAGCTGAGAACTCCACTCAGGTGCTCACGCAGCCCTTCCTGGCTCTAAGAGTGAAATACAGATATGCACATTAATAACTGTAGTATCAGGCAGGACACATTGCATGAAGGAGAGGGATAAAAATCTCAGTGTCCCATTTAAAGATCTAAAAAAAGAACAAAATAAAAAATGCTTCAAGGTCTTTGGAAGAAAGGTGGCCTACAAATCTAAGAGATCCTGTTTGTCAAATTTTAAAGTGCTATGTGCTGGATTGCAAATGTCCTCAATGGGACCAGTTTCTGTAAATGGGGCAAGGAAGGGGGGTGAAATCCTAGAATGACATGTAGCAAACATTATTAAGCACTGAGAGTCAGAGTTGGAGTTCTAACTGCTCAAATTTTGCTGTATGACCCTGGGCATTTTACTTGGCCTCTCGAGT